ACCGCCATGTCAGGTGGGGGCAAAAGGCCGGGCAACAAGCTGTCACTCACCATGGACGGAGGCCGGAGAGGGTCACAATACTTGTACCGCGAACTAAGCTTTAACTACTCTCTTCACTGCAAGAAAATATCAGACCTTATCAGGGACTATGTACAATGGGTAAAATTATGACACTCTTCAATATACTTTTCAGGTGTTTCGTCATCACTATTTTTTTTACACCTTTTCAGCCATGTATGTTTGACAGGATTCACCAAGGTACCTTCTTTGACAAATCCTGTTTTAGTATATAGTACGCCTATATAAAACGCTTCCGTTTTGTAAATCGTGCAAATCCTGTAGATTAGCCACATGCCATTCGCCACTTGTAATCTTAGCACAGGTTGCACATTAGCCACTTTTCACTTACTCAAGAATTCACCAGGAAAAAATAAATAATGGCTATAAATAGCACGAAATAGCAAATGGCAATGTCCAGTCAAGGCCAGGGGCAGTTCCAGGATTGATAATCTGACCCTGAATGTGTCCCCGAATGTCACCACTGAACAGATGTTTTACTAAGGGGTGTATTCATCCTGTGAAACTGCAATGTACATTCATTCTGTGTGAATGGGGACGCAAATTAATTGATAGGATAGGAGAGAATCGGGTAAAAAAAACATATGATGGCCACTAGATGGCGCCAAAGATATTACAAAATACATTCTACCTATAAGTCTTCAGCGCCATCAAGTGGCCATATTGTACTATTACATGATCCTCTCTAATATGCATGTACTACATTTTACCTGGAAAGGAAATAACTAGGGATGCACCGATACCAGTATTTCGGTATTGAGTACGGGCACCGATATTTCTCTTTCGGTACTCGCCAATACAGAGTTCCGGAAGTGCCATTCAGGAAGCCAGGCGGCGTGTAATGACTCGCCACCTGGCTTCCTGATTAGCAGGGAAGCCGTCCCCATGCTTCTCGTCACTTGGAGACGAGAACGCACGGAGTCGGCTTTCCGGCTCAATGCTCCCTCGTCATGAGGTGATGAGGGAGCATGAAGCCGGCTTCCCCACCAATCAGAAAGCTGGGCGCTGCGTCATTACACATGGCGCCTGGCTTCCTGATTGGCCAGCTTCCGAGCAATCAGGAAGCCGTGCAGCGAGTCATTACATGCTGCCCGACTTCCTGATTGGCCGGGAAGCCGACTCCATGCTCTCTTGTCACAAGTGATGTGTAATGATGCGCTGCCTGGCTTCCTGATACCGGAAGTATTGGGCTAGGCATCAGAGCATTTGGGCGAGTACGAGTACTCGCCCAAATACTCAGCATCGGCATCGATACTGATACTAGTATCGGTGCATCCCTACTAATAACATTCATTTTTTTCCATTTGAACAGATCAAATGTTCATGTAGTTTTGCCGGGTAAAACTCGTTTTCTTTGGGTTTTTATTTGAATAAATACACCCCTAGGGGTCATCATACCAACTTGGAGTTACCAAAACTATGTAATATGAGGATCTACCTAATCTATCCAATCTATTCTCCTCCAATCAGGCAGGCCCTTCTACTACATAGTTGTTGGTAGATGTGAAGGAGATTGTATACTGTATGGAGAGAACACTGGAGGGAATGAGCATGTCATTGTAACCACTGATACTATGTTGGTAGCAAATGTTACATTTATACGCTCATTCCCTCCAGTGTTCTCCTGAATTGTATCCTGACATTCGACCAGAAGGGAAATCACACATTTGATTTTGCCTCATTGGCACAACCTCTGGTTAACTCGCACAGAACAAATCTACAAGGAGTTTCCCCCAACAAATAGGCAATGTGATTTTTTTTATAAATAAACCTCTAGTGGGGGAATTTATCAACACTGGAGCAGACAGAATCTGGAGCAGTTGTCCATGGCAACCAATCAGCTTCTATCCTTACTTTGTTCAGTTAAGCTTTGGAAATAAAAGAAGCTGATTGGTTGCCATAGGCAATGCTGCAGATTCTGTCTGCTCCAGTTTTGATAAATTCCCCATTTGGTGTTTTCTCTAATAGGCTTTGCCATGGCACTGTGTTAAAGGCGGACTATACCTTTTAGACCAAGTTTAGGGTGTACAATTAAAAGATTCCCCAACCCCCCCCCCCCCCCCCCCAAACACCCCCCCACAAAACACAC